TGTGTGTGTGTGTGTGTGTGTTTGTGTGTGTGTGTCTTAACTAGCATTGAAGCTAAAATGGGAATAGAGCGATCGTTGCACCAATGTTATTAGGTCCATATTAATCTGCACCACACGTCAAGTGACTGTGCAGATTATTTATTCACCACCAAGCACATAATCAGTGTTGTCGATGAGGGGAGGCAATGTAACTCTTAAATACATATATTTTCTTCCAGATGTAAAATGTAAAACTAAGCTGGTAGGTCACAGGCCGAAGGAGGATATTCACATAATTTCTGTGTTTTTTATTATTTGGTGGGTGTGTGTCTTGTACTAAGTTTTATTCCGAATTACACGTAATATGCCTTCTGCTGTGTTATGATATTAAATTACATTGGTGTTCTCCTAATTCCCCATTCTAGTATGACCAGCAGAGTGCAGCTGAAGCAGGACAGGCTTGTAGGTCTTACTGATTCCTCCAGCTGTTAGAGAGGATCAGAGCATGAGGATGGAGAGACCAGCAAGTGTTGCGTCAGAGAAGGTCAGGTAGGGAAGTAAGTGTTGCTTTTAGGGGCCGGGTGTGTTTGGCTAAATATATTTCTCCTTTCAGCTACATTCAAAAAAGTATTCAGATTTTAACATGCATTTTCTACTTACTAAATATTTCAGTTTTACTCTGGTAACTTCAGTGTTACACCTCTGCAATATTTTTGCAGTTTCTCTTATTGTGATATTTTAACTGTTTCACTTGCACATTTAATTTCCTGAGATATAGTCAATTTATTTTCAATTAAAACTCTTAAAAAGACTTTAGGGCTTATTGGGTTTTGATTATGATGTCTAGGTAAATATCATCACTTACTCATATTTTTTTTAATTTTTGTTTTTCAGGTTTGCGTCATAAAGCTTCTTGATGTGTTTCTGAGCCATGATTGAGACTCTCCATGATGTTCACCCAGGACGTATCAACTCCATTCCATCGACCCCTTGAGACCTTCCTGTTGTTAAATTGCCTTTCCCTTGGATCCAAGCACCTGCACCTCGCTGACCAGTACAGTGACCATCAGTCCACAGTCAGCTGGATCATCACAACATTGACTAACTTTTTATTTACAATTAGGATCTGAAAACCAGAGGACCAGCTACGCAAAAATCTACCTGCAGACTTTAAGCAGCTACCCTGACACTGCAGTGATCCTGGACTGGGCTGAGCTGCTCTTACTCTCTCCCTCTTCCTCTCTCCTCCAGAGTGACAAGTTTTCATCACCAGTAAAGACAAACAAGTTTGACATCCGAGTAACTGCTGGGAAGTGTATTATATATTTTCAGTGTTCATTTTGTTATACTGTTTGGACTTAAAATGTAATCTGTTTTACAAACCTTTTTCCCTTATCTCAGTTGTAACATTATGTGAAGTTTTTGCATGTAATTTGGCCTTCATGCGAGATATTAAAATTAAACGCTTTCAAGTAATATTTCATCTTTTCTAAAACAAAATACAGAAAATACTTTCACAAAGTGGCTTTTTTTCTGTCATTCCTCTTGTGAGTTGTATAATGGAGTGTTATGGCCAGGTTACAAGTATTTTTAATTATCAGAATGCGGTCATATTATGATCGTAAAGATGCAATTTTACCAGAAGAACATCTTAAAATATGGGAAGTCATTTTATGGAGAAGTCTTGGCTCCCTCTGACGAAACCAGCTCAGTCCAGGTGGTTCTGATACATTCAGTGGTTAAGAGGAT